TCCAAATCGACTGGACTGTGAATCACGTACACGGTCTTAGATGGTCGTCATCGTGGGATAATTTACCGTACAGTGGACTCGGAGATTTCATATCCGATAGTGTGTTAGACGAGGATCAGCCTGTCCTCGTGAAAGGAATGGAGAAAAAGAGATGGCTGGAGCCTCATTTACCTAATAATATTATTATTGACTTGGAGCCGTATGGCTGTAGTAGAATAAAAGATTTAATGTTATCTAGCTTAAAATTTCATTGTAATAGACATAAAATTAATAATTTACGCTGCACTAGGCAGAATGTATATGCTATATATAAATGGTATATTGTTAATAGAGATAAGCTTGATGATTGTATTTATTTATTTTAAATAAAGTGGAAAAATATTGCTGAACTCTGTGTGTTTCATTTCTCGAATAGTGAGTGGGGTGGGGTGGGGAGAGATAAGTAGTGGAGGGAGAGAGGGGAGTGAGACGCTAAACGCGCGTCTGATAGCATAAATCCAATTCAGTGTATTAGTAGTAGCAGTAGCAGCAATGAGTGAGCACAGAGTTATTACTATGAGCGAATTGTTAAATGGAGAACTATGCACATGCAAATTGTGCACCGTCCCACCATATGTATGGAATATACTAAATATTAAAAGAAATAAAGAGGAGGGGGAGGAGGAGGAGAAGGAGGAGAAAGATGTACCTCCAAAACTAATTCCATTTCGGGAAATATTATGTTAACGTTTGTTCAATATTTAAAAAATTATATCTAAACATTGCTCTCTCATTGTTACAGACAAGGAGCTGTACCCTAAGCTCTTAGAATCCCACGGATGCCTAGAGACCAGCACCACAGCGGGGCAAAAATAATATATTTCATATATTTTAAAATTAAATNCTGCTGACCTCCGTCCACTGCTCCTTCTTGCGAAGGATAACAGGCGGTATCCTATCAGTTTTCTCGGCAGGGGCCGCGCGCTCTGATGTCGTCGCTGGTACGATCTCGGGGACCTTCACCTGTTCGGCGGCAGGTTCTTCGTTTGCTTTTGCTGGCTTCTTTTTAGCCTTGCAGGACTCCTCCTCGGAACCCGACGAGGTCCCTGGCTTACCTCGCTTTACCCCTTTTGGGGTCTGTTGTCCCTTGAGGGCGTTTAACAGCTCGGCGTGCTGTTCTCGAGACCTCTTTTCAAGGTCATCGAACGCCTTCCTCTGTTGCCTCAGCTCATCTCTGAAGTCGTCGATCATTTGCCGTAGTCTGGCATTCTCTGCTGCCAGCTCACTCTCACGGCTAGTTGTATCCACGACCGACCCGGGGGTGCTAGGCCTGCTGTCGCCGGCTTCGCTGCCACTCGAGCGGTCGCTCTCCATGGGGGTCGAAGATTTCGACATAGTGCCCTCCTCCCCGGCACCTGAATCTGTAAAATAAATGCCGGCGGTCTCTCTGCCTGGGCTGAGATAACGTCGGTTGTTAGTAGAAATTTTGCAATATAAAATTGCCGAATTCTTTCTACAGAGCGACCCATTTGAAAGCGGGCCACCCTCAGAACATTTTTATTTATGGAGCGATTTTGACGAAATTTTTTTTGAAATGTAGAGGGGGGAAAAGTGTATTTTGGGGCTAAGCGCCGTCCAGTTCTTTTTTAAACTAAGGCCTACTAGATCACATTCAGAGGCTGAAAAATCCAGAATCCATATTAGCGATTTTTTTAGAAAAAATCTGCGTACGCCACTGGATTTGGCGTCCCCTGAAATGGATCTGTACCAAATTTCATGAAAAAATATTCAACATTAACGATTCTGCGGCTAAATTGCTGTCAAATTGTTTATTATGCATAAAGAAACTTTTTATCTAGTAACCCATGCGATAATAAATCAATCACAACAAATATTTAATAACACGTTTAATAGACATCATTATACCAAAATACAATGAAACAGACAGAAAAATGAACGAGAAATTAACATAAAATTTACAAAAAATACAATAAAATAAAATTAACACACATGAATTAAATTAAATTCTGGAATTTTCAACTAAATCTT